TAGACTAGACTATAGACTAGACTATAGACTAGACTATAGACTAGACTATAGACTAGACTATAGACTAGACTATAGACTAGACTATAGACTAGACTATAGTACTAGACTATAGACTAGACTATAGACTAGACTATAGACTAGACTATAGACTAGACTATAGACTAGACTATAGACTAGACTATAGACTAGACTATAGACTAGACTATAGACTAGACTATAGACTAGACTATAGACTAGACTATAGACTAGATTATAGTCTAGACTATAGACTAGACTATAGACTAGATTATAGACTAGACTATAGACTAGACTATAGAACTAGACTATAGTACTAGACTATAGACTAGACTATAGACTATAGACTAGACTATAGACTAGACTATAGACTAGACTATAGACTAGACTATAGACTAGACTAGACTATAGACTAGACTATAGACTAGACTATAGACTAGACTATAGACTAGACTATAGACTAGACTATAGACTAGACTATAGACTAGACTATAGACTAGACTATAGACTAGACTATAGACTAGACTATAGACTAGACTATAGACTAGACTATAGACTAGACTATAGACTAGACTATAGACTAGACTAGACTATAGACTAGACTATAGACTAGACTATAGACTAGACTATAGACTAGACTATAGACTAGACTATAGACTAGACTATAGACTAGACTATAGACTAGACTATAGACTAGACTATAGACTAGACTATAGACTAGACTAGACTAGACTAGACTATAGACTAGACTATAGACTAGACTATAGACTAGTTTATAGACTAGACTATAGACTAGACTATAGACTAGACTATAGACTAGACTATAGACTAGACTATAGACTAGACTATAGACTAGACTATAGACCATAGACTACACTACTGACTAAACTATAGAATAGAGTATAAACTGAACTATTGACTAGACCATAGACTAGCCTAGTTAAAATCGAGTCCTTGTTCTACAGTTCTAACAATGCTCCCAAAGGCCTTTACATAGGATCTTAATAATGCTATACTATTTGTAAGCTGTACCGAGGGTCTAACACCGTTTTTTTTTTCTCATTGGAACTAATGAAACCTTTTTACTAAAATATGTAAGAAAGCTTTAGTTCGAGATCGAGAAACAGGCTTATATTATCTAAAATCTAGTATCTAAACCAGTTCTTCAACTATCTTTTATAAACTAAAACATGTTGCTTTAGGAACATCTACACAACTACACTTTAGTAACTTTCAATTATAGAGCTCTAGAGTAACATTTGTATGTAATTCATTCCTTTCCTTTTCATTCCAGGAACGTTTGCGTAAAAGTTAATTAACAAAAGGTTTTCAATTAAAGTTTGTTTATGGTAGATCTCATTTTAACAATTGTTTTTTTTTTTTTTTTTTGTTGTGTTGCACTTACCTTTATCTATTTGCCTTCAAAGTCATGGTTTGTTCAATTTGTTTGAAATTTCCTTTTTTTGTTTAATATTTCTTTTATTTATATTTTCTTGTTGTTGGTTTTTTATTATTTGCTATTCATCATAAATATAAATAAGAATAATAAAAAAATCTGTTTTTTACCATTATACATATAAATATATAAAGAATAATAATAATTTATATAAATATCAAATCATAAAAGAGCCTTTAAAAAAAAACGAAAAGAATTCTATATATTTATAAACTTATTTAAAAAAATATTACATCAATTTTAATTTTTTTTGTATACAATTAAGTTTTGTTTTATTATTAATTAATTAAAACTATTATTACAATACAATCACTTTTTTTTTGTAAACTTTCTTACTAAAATTATAGTTATTAGCAAAAATTAGTTTAATTACTATTAACAATTGCTAATATTAAATCATTTAAAAGAAAAATTGTTGAAAAAGTTATTTTGATTTTGAGTAAGAGAGTTAGAAAAGAGAGAGAGAGAGAGAGAGAGGAAGTAGAAAAATTTATGTATAATTTAAAAACTATATTCGTCGTTTAAGTTTTAAGCTATAGGTATTTGTTATATTTTTATATCCAGTATTATTATTATTTTAGTTTAAACAAATAAATTATTTATTTAAAAGGGATTTAATAGTGTTTTAGTTTATGTTTAAAACTGTACTAGAAATTTAAAAACTTTAATAAAACTTAAAAGTTTAGAAGATTAAGGCAGTTTAGCCTGAAATTCTTTTAAATGTTTTCAAATTTCTTAAGTTTTCTTAAATTTCCTTTACAGTTATTTCTTTATATGTATTGGTAGGTTAAAGTCATTGTGTAATTAATTTAAATTTGATTTATTTTATTTTAGGAAAAAAGTGTTTATTTTTAAATTTTATTTCTTTATTTATTTAATCAATTTCACTTTTGGTATCGTTTTCGTTATAATTTTTGAAAAAATATTTGTTTTCTTTTGCTTTTATCTAAATATTTAAATTTAACAATACAAATTTGTTTAAAGATTATTTTAGAAAATTTGTTTTTCGTTTTATATTTACAATAGTTTGTTTTCTTTTTGGACTTTTAATTCAAAATTTTTGGGCAAATTAAATACTTTTAGTTGTTGTTGTTGTAGTAATATTAAAATTTTATTTATAAAAATTGTTTAACAATAGTTTAAAAGGGGTAATTTTAGTAATAGTTTTTTAATAAGGGTGGGATGGGTTTTTAAATGCTTTAATGTTGTTAAGAGGTTTTTAATGTTTTGATTGGTTTAAGGAACTCTTTTTACAAATGTTATATAAAATATGAAAACTTTATCAAGTAATCTTATGAAATCTATAGTTTAAACTATAGAACAGCTATAGTCAAGACAATAGCCCTAATAATAGTCAAGTGTAAGGTACTGCTATGTTCTAACTATAGACAAGATTGTAGACAATACTATAAACCAACTATAGACGAGACTTTAGTTCAACTATTGTTAAAATTTTTAACCATAATTATAGTCCAACTATAGTCAAGACAATAGCTCAAATATAATTAAAGCTTTAGTCCAACTATAGAACAATAATAGTCAAAATTATATTCAAAACTATAGTCAAAACTATAATGGTAAAGTAGTTAAAACAAAGTTAAACTATAGTCAGAATTTAACTCCAACTTTTGCTAAAACCTTATTCGGTCTTTAGTGAACACTTAAATCATTAAGATATAGTCTATAGTCAATACTTTAGTTCAAATATAGTCCAACTATAATCAAGCTTATGAACCAATTATAGACAAAACTATAGACCAACTATAGTAAAAGCTATGGACACACTAAAATCAAGACTAAAGTCTAACTACAGTCAAGACTATAATAGTACAAATATAGTCATGCCAATATCCCAACTATAATCAAAACAAAGTCTTTCAAAAGTAATTACTAATGACCAAGTATAGTCAGGGTTACTGATGGACTAGTAGCCCAGACCTTGACCAACTATATCAAAAGATATTTTTCTTAGAAAAAAAATCCTTTTTTAATTTAAAAATTCTCCACTTTTTCATTCATCCGGAACACAAAAGAAAGCTTAAATTCGAGATCCTGAAACTGGCTATTCGAATCTAAAATCTGTTACCTAAATATATCGTAAACTACCATAGAAACCTTTAGAAACTTTTAATTATTGTTCCTAGAGTAGCAATCACGATTTGTTCTTTACTCCAAGAATATTCGCGAGAAATTCAATAGGTTTTTAATTTTAATTTATTTTAGTTCTAAATTTTAACATAAAACTAATAAAGAGTTTTAACATTTTGTTAGAAATAAAAACTTTATTCGAACAAGTGGAAACGAAACATGTTTTCCATACATTTAGAACAAAACCTCTTAGAACTTTCAATTATTGATTCCCAGAATATTCACGATTTGTTCCCTACTCCAGGAATATTCGCGAGAATTTCAATAAGTTTTTAATTATATTTTATTTTAGTTCTAAATTTTAACATGAAACTAATAAATAGTTTTAACTTTTTGTTAGAAATAAAAACTTTATTCGAACTAGTGGAAACGAAACATGTTTTCCATACATTTAGATTACAAAAGAAAGCTTTAGTTGGAGATTCTTAAACAGGCTATTGGAAACTATAATATAGTCTCTAAGTTATATTATAAAATACAATAGAAAACTTTTGAAACTTCTAATTATTGAAGTCTAAAGAAATATTCGTGATTTATTCCCTAATCAGGGAATATTCGTGAAAAATTTAAAGCACTATAGTGGAATTAAAAGGTTTTCAATATAAATTTTCTTACGCTTTGAGCTCTCGTGGAACATTCGCGATTTGTTTCTCTTTTTTTATTCCAGGAATATTCGCGAAAAATTCCATAAACTGCGTTAGAGTAAAAAAATGTTCGTAAACATTCGCGATTCATTCTCTAATTATTTCCCAGAACGTTAAATATCAATCAATAATTGATTTTAATTTATAAGATTTCTTATGGTAAAGACTTTTAGGAATAAAACATACACTTTCACTTTTTTCACATTCGCTATTAGTTCCTTTTTTATTCGAGGAACGATTTTAAGTTCGTTATCATGAAAAATGCTAAATTCTAGTATTAAGATTTTTTTTAAAATGTCCTATAATTGAGCTCTTTAGGAACATTCGCGATTTGTTCTCTCATTTTAGTTCCAATAACGTTCGCGAAGAAATAAATAGATGGTTTTAAATTAAACTTTTTTATGGTAAAGAAATTTTAGAAATAAAACTTTCAGTGCTCAAGAGAAACATTTGCTATTAGTTCCCTTTTTCCTTTGAGTTCCAAGAACATTCGCGAAGAACGATCGTGAATCGTGAAAAAGACTTTTAGAATGTAAAATCTAGTATTTAGGATTATATACAAATACAATATTATTAAGCTCTTTAGGAACATTTGCGATTTGTTCTCTTCCTTAGAGTTCCAAGAACATTCGCGAAGAAATAAATAGATGGTTTTAGTTTAAATTCTCTTGTGGTAAAGACATTATTTAAATTGTAGTGCTCTAGAGAAACATTCGCTATTCATTATCTTTCAATTATACAGCTCTTTAGGGCAACATTCGCTCTTTATTTCCTACTTTTTATAAAAGGAATGTTCGTGAAAATTCTATTACAAAGTCATAATCCTTGACAAAAATTAAAAAAACATTATAAAATTTAAAATTAAAACTTAACTATTGTTAAACAATCTTAATAATTTTAATAAAACTATTACATATTTTAAATTTTTTTTGAATTTCTTTTATTATTATATATTTTATATAAAAAAATGAATTCTAAACATAAACGCTAATAATTGTGGTTGGGTTTTTTCATTCTTTTTTACTAATCATAGCTACATTTTCTTTATGTTTTATTATTATTATTATATTACACTAAAACTAAAGTATGTATAAATATGATGGGATTTTAGAATTTTCATTTTAAATTTTCCAAAATAAAAGGAAATTATAAAAACTTTGAATGAAGGTGGTCGATGTGGTTCTGTTGTAGTCTAAATGGTGGTGTTTATGTATTTAATTAATATATAATATATATAAGTGATGCTTGGTTTTTTGTATGTATGTAATATATGATTTTTAGGAATTTGTTTTTATTTTAATTTAATATTTTTTTACTTTCACTAACTTATTTATTAAATATTAAATATATTAACGGACTGTGCTTAATATTTTTGTTTAAATTTTTACATCATTATCTTAAGCTCTTTGATTTTAATACAAAAACAAAATAAAGAGTTTATATTTTTTCTTTTTTATATACAGACAAGCACGTTTATATAAAAAAATATCTATTTAACAACCAACGACTGTTTTAAATGACGCAATAAACCAGCGCCAATATCCTGAACATCAGGCCATTGGCGTATCACACAAATTATAAGAAATATCGATAAGAAAGTGGTTAAAACGCGGACTCTGCAATGTGTTTTTTCAGAAATAAGTTTTAAAATGAATTTTCAAATATAAATAGAAAATGCTACTTACCTTGTTTTTAAAAATGGCATTATAATACCGGCCGCTGTGGCCACTAGTAATAGCACTACTTGTAATATGGTTAAAACCACATTTATTAGTTTTACCACCAAAGCTCGGGCATTTGAATTGTCTATACCCTCGACCGTTACATATTGTTGTTGAGATAAATGTTCCATTTTTGAAATCTAGAGATAGTTTTTAGTTTAATTTTTTTCTATTAGAAAAGTGTATTTTAAAGTTATTTTTCAACTTACTCTAGTTTGACAATTTTCTAAAACTTCATTGACATCTTGCAGACGTTCATCGCTTTGATATTGCACCTTTTCTTCCATATCGGCTATAGCTTGTTTTAGATTTTCGATTTCATTCTGTAAAGAAGAGAATTTTGCAAATTATAAAACAAGTTTTCGAAAATCATTATATTTTGACTAGAACTAAACTAGAACTGAACTAGAACTGACTAGAACTGAACTAGAACTGAACTAGACCTAGAACTGAACTAGAACTGAACTAGAACTGAACTAGAACTGAACTAGAACTGAACTAGAACTGAACTAGAACTGAACTAGAACTGAACTAGAACTGAACTAGAACTGAACTAGAACTGAACTAGAACTGAACTAGAACTGAACGAGAACTGAACTAGAACTGAACTAGAACTGAACTAGAACTGAACTAGAACTGAACTAGAACTGAACTAGAACTGAACTAGAACTGAACTAGAACTGAACTAGAACTGAACTAGAACTGAACTAGAACTGAACTAGAACTGAACTAGAACTGAACTAGAACTGAACTAGAACTGAACTAGAACTGAACTAGAACTGAACTGGAACTGAACTAGAACTGAACTAGAACTGAACTAGAACTGAACTAGAACTGAACTAGAACTGAACTAGATCTGAACTAGAACTGAACTAGAACTGAACTAGAACTGAACTAGATCTGAACTAGAACTGAACTAGAACTGAACTAGAACTGAACTAGAACTGAACTAGAACTGAACTAGAACTGAACTAGAACTGAACTAGAACTGAACTAGAACTGAACTAGAACTGAACTAGAACTGAACTAGAACTGAACTAGAACTGAACTAGAACTGAACTAGAACTGAACTAGAACTGAACTAGAACTGAACTAGAACTGAACTAGAACTGAACTAGAACTGACCTAGAATTGAACTAGAACTGAACTAGAACTGAACTAGAACTGAACTAGAACTGAACTAGAACTGAACTAGAACTGAACTAGAACTGAACTAGAACTGAACTAGAACTGAACTAGAACTGAACTAGAACTGAACTAGAACTGAACTAGAACTGAACTAGAACTGAACTAGAACTGAACTAGAACTGAACTGAACTAGAACTGAACTAGAACTGAACTAGAACTGAACTAGAACTGAACTAGAACTGAACTAGAACTGAACTAGAACTGAACTAGAACTGAACTAGAACTGAACTAGAACTGAACTAGAACTGAACTAGAACTGAACTGGAACTGAACTAGAACTGAACTAGAACTGAACTAGAACTGAACTAGAACTGAACTAGAACTGAACTAGATCTGAACTAGAACTGAACTAGAACTGAACTAGAACTGAACTAGATCTGAACTAGAACTGAACTAGAACTGAACTAGAACTGAACTAGAACTGAACTAGAACTGAACTAGAACTGAACTAGAACTGAACTAGAACTGAAATAGAACTGAACTAGAACTGAACTAGAACTGAACTAGAACTGAACTAGAACTGAACTAGAACTGAACTAGAACTGAACTAGAACTGAACTAGAACTGAACTAGAACTGAACTAGAACTGAACTAGAACTGAACTAGAACTGAACTAGAACTGACCTAGAATTGAACTAGAACTGAACTAGAACTGAACTAGAACTGAACTAGAACTGAACTAGAACTGAACTAGAACTGAACTAGAACTGAACTAGAACTGAACTAGAACTGAACTAGAACTGAACTAGAACTGAACTAGAACTGAACTAGAACTGAACTAGAACTGAACTAGAACTGAACTAGAACTGAACTGAACTAGAACTGAACTAGAACTGAACTAGAACTGACTAGAACTGAACTAGAACTGAAACTAGACTGAACTAGAACTGAACTAGAACTGAACTAGAACTGAAACTAGAACTGAACTAGAACTGAACTAGAACTGAACTAGAACTGAACTAGAACTGAACTAGACGAACTAGAACTGAATGAACTAGAACTGAACTAAGAACTGAACTAGAACTGACTAGAACTACTAGAACTGAACTAGAACTAGAACTGAACTAGAACTGACTAGAACTGACTAGAACTGAACTAGAACTGAACTAGAACTGAACTAGAACTACTAGAACTGACTAGAACTGAACTAGAACTGAACTAGAACTGAACTCGAACTGAACTAGAACTGAACTAGAACTGAACTAGAACTGAACTAGAACTGAAACGAGAACTGAACTAGAACTGAACTAGAACTGACTAGAACTGAACTAGAACTGAACTAGAACGGACTGACTGAACTAGAACGAACTAGAACTGACTAGAACTGAACTAGAACTGAACTAGAACTGAACTAGAACTGAACTAGAACTGAACTAGAACTGAACTAGAACTGAACTAGAACTGAACTAGAACTGAACTAGAACTGAACTAGAACTGAACTAGAACTGAACTAGAACTGAACTAGAACTGAACTAGAACTGAACTAGAACTGATCTAGAACTGAACTATAACCTTGACTATTGCTGGTCGTGACTATATGATGTTATATTTAGTCTTGACTATAGTTAGACTATAGTAGGACTATTTTCTTGACTATAGTTGAACTATTTGTTGACAGTAACTTGACTATCTTATTGGTTATATTTGGACTATAAACTTGACTTTATTTGGACTATACTATTAACAAAAGTTGCACTATAGTCTTGGCTCTAGTTGGACTAGAGTCTTCGACTTGAACAAAAGTATAATTTTTAAAAGTTATTGAAACACAAACGCCACTCACCTGATGTAATTCCGTTAAATCATTAATTTGTTCCTCTAGACTTTCAGCACGATAACGTTCACTTTCTAGTGTCGCCGTCAAATTGTTCACCTCCTTTTGAGCATTCTGCAATACAAATCAAAAGTTATAAACACACCAAACTTTGGTCTAATAAAAATAAATAAATCTACCTCTAAACGTTCCACACGCTCAGCTAATTTTTCATTTTCTGCTTTTCGTTCGGCCAATTCGGTTAGTAGGGACTTTAAAACAATATGATACTGGCTGGCACCCGATTGACTTTTTCCAGAGCTGAGAAATAGAACAAAAATAAATAAGAAAGGTAAATAATTAAAAATATGTATATCATTCAGTTTTTTATATATTTTTTGTTTTATTCTATTAACTTACCCGGCTGGTATACTCTCACTTGTGACGCTACTACATTCGCTGCCATTTTCACTATTAATTTACCACTACCAGCACCACCGGTATTAATCCCACCACCACCACCCGAACCCGTTGAAGCGGTGGGTATAGCATTGTTAGGCGTAGTACTGCCCAACATATCATGTTGATTCACAGGCATATTTAAACTATTCAATTCAGATTCTGAAATTAGAATACGAAATTAGTAAAAAACTTTATACAACAGAGTTAACTAAAGAAGAACAGAACACCCACCTGACATTTGATTGATATTATCAGCACTGCCAAATTTGTTCTTAATCAAATGTGCAAATTCTCTAGGTTTCGACATAACAGACCCTGAGAATCCAGTAATGCCGTCACGTATATTACCACCAACATTTCTGTCATAAAAAGTAATATCAGTATTTTATTTGTATTTAAGAAACATGAAGCATTATTTAATGAAAAACATATTCTAATGATAAATCTTAGGCTATTTGATTTAAAAAGCTAAAATGTTTGAATATATAAATTACCTTAAACCCTGACCCACATCTCTTAAAACTTCACGAGGTTGTCGGTGCTGTGATTTGTTATGAAATTGTTGATTTTGTAAATCTTTGACACGTTTCGTGTAACTGTCAAGTTTCTTTTGTAATTGGGAAATAGTGTGTGCGCTTTTTTGATTTTTCTTTTCGAAAACAGCCTGTAAAAAAAGTTTAAAATTGGATTAACATTACCCTAGTTTTAATAACAGTTAAGACTATAAACTAGACTGAACTAGAATGAACTAGACTCGACTGAACTAGAACTGAACTAGAACTGAACGAGAACTGAAACTAGACTGAAACTCCCAGAACTGAACTAGAACTGAACTAGAACTGAATAGAACTGAAAAGCAGAACTGAACTAGAACTGAACTAGAACTGAACTAGAACTGAACTAGAACTGAACTAGAACTGAACTAGAACTGAACTAGAACTGAACTAGAACTGAACTAGAACTGAACTAGAACTGAACTAGAACTGAACTAGAACTGAACTAGAACTGAACTAGAAACGTTTAAGACCGTAGAAACTGAACTAGAACTGAACTAGAACTGAACTAGAACTAGAATTGAACTAGAACTGTACTAGAACTGAACTTAGAACCTGAACCTAGAAACTGAACTAGAACTGAACTAGAACTGAACTAGAACTGAACTAGAACTGAACTAGAACTGAACTAGAACTGACTAGAACTGAACTAGAACTGAACTAGAACTGAACTAGGAACTGAACTAGAACTGAACTAGAACTGAACTAGAACTGAACTAGAACTGAAACTAGAACTGAACTAGAAACTGAACTAGACTGAACTAGAACTGAACTAGAACTGAACTAGAACTGAACTAGAACTGAACTAGAACTGAACAGGAACTGAACTAGAACTGAACTAGAACTGAACTAGAACTGAACTAGAACTGAACTAGAACTGAACTAGAACTGAACTAGAACTGAACTAGAACTGAACTAGAACTGAACTAGAACTAAACTAGAACTGAACTAAAACGAACTAGAACTAGAACTGAACTAGAACTGAATAGAACTGAACTGAACTAGAACTGAAATAGAACTGAACTAGAACTGAACTAGAACTAGAACTGAAACTGAAACTAGAACTAGAACTTGAACTAGAACTGAACTCGAACTTGGAACTAGAACTGAAACTAGAACTGAACTAGAACTGAACTAGAACCTGAACTAGAACTGACTAGAAACTGAACTAGAACTGAACTAGAACTGAACTAGAACTGAACTAGAACTGAACTAGAACTGAACTAGAACTGAACTAGAACTGAACTAGAACTAGAACTAGAACTGAACTAGAACTGAACTAGAACTGAACTAGAACTGAACTAGAACTGAACTAGAACTGAACTAGAATTGAACTAGAATTGAACTAGAATTGAACTAGAACTGAACTAGAACTGAACTAGAACTGAACTAGAACTGAACTAGAACTGAACTAGAACTGAACTAGAACTGAACTAGAACTGAACTAGAACTAGAACTGAACTAGAACTAAACTAGAACTGAACTAGAACTGAACTACAACTGAACCAGAACTGAACTAGAATTGAACTAGAATTGAACTAGAACTTAATATTACCTTTATTCGTTGCAATTGCTGTTTATCTGCACTGGCGGCTAATTTTAGATATTCATTAACATTATCTGAAAACATAAGATAGAATTATTGTAAAATGACAACATTTCCGAAATAACAAAATTCTTACTAACCATCTCTGGCAGTTTGTTCTTTACGTATGGACTCTTTTGTACATTGAATTTTGTATTTAAACGATCTAAAGCTTGTAAACTTAAAGTGCGTTCATGACGGCGATGATGTTTTTTTACTCGTATCGCCCAATGAACCATGAGGATTGCCATCTAAATCATCGGAGACAAATGATTGATAACAAAGATCTTCATTGCCTGTAAAATAAACAAAAAATGAAGAAAAACTTTAGATTTTCTTAAAAAATTAATTTAAAATAGAAATTTTGTTTATCAGTTTTCTAACAAAATTACCTGATAAACGGGAATCTTCTGTAATACCACCAGAACCACCAGCACTACTTAAACCTATATCCATATTAGTTAAATCACCACCAACACCTCCCAGAGGCATACCACTAACACCCATGCCGCCATGATAGGCCAACAGGCCACCCTGATCCGAGCCGTGTGTGCGAGCGTGTGTACGATTACGTTCCCGACTGCGACGATTCGAGGGCGATTGACTGCGAAAGCCACGAAAGGCTGACACGCCCACTACACCCACACCACCACCACTGCCCACACTACCCGTCATAGTACCACTACTACTGGTAGCACTTGTTGCCGTTGGCGGTGTTAGGCCTGCTATACTTGCAGCCGTAGCACCAGCTGTTGCGGTTGTGCTCGATGAGAATGTAACGCCAGCGGCCGAAGACGTTGATTCGGCGCTATCACCGCGATGATGATGATGAGTATGATGATCACGCTCTCTGGACACTGTTGTTGTATTCATGCGTATGGATTTTTTGTGTTTTTAGATTTTTTTTAAATTTCGATTTAAAGTCAGTGTTGTGTTTGCAGTTTTTAGGGGTAAATCCGTTAATTAGTCTTTATATTGATTTTCTTTAATTTTATTATTTTTTGTAAAAAAGTTCTTTATTTTCATAAACTATTTAAGCTATTTTTTGGTGGCAGAAGTAGAAATAGAAGAAGAAGCACATTTAAATGTATGACACAAGCAAATAAAAATTATCACATACAAATTAATTAATTAATTATTTAAATTTCTGGTGTACTTTCTATAGCAGACTTTTAGGCTTCGCAAATACATGTAGTTTTGTTTTTTTTAGTTATTGAATGGTGAAAATTACAATTTAAGAGTAAAAGTTGTGGGGTGTTTATAGTAGAAGAGCGTGTTTTATTGAAATGTGAAGTAAATAGAAAAAAAAAAGAGAGCTGAGATTTTTCTTTATATATTTTTGTCGTTTTTTTTACAGATTTTTCTTTATATATTTCATAAATATATAAAATGTTATAAATGTGTGCGTGAGCAAAATATGCAACTTATTTTGGCAACAATTTAGTTCGTTATTTATTTTGAGTTTTAAAATAATTTACAACAACAGAATAATGATGGTGTAGCAAAAGTTGTATGTCCTTTTTTATTGCATTTGTATTCTTTGTTTTTGAAATTATTACTTTATGTTTTTTTGTTTTTTAACTTTTGTTTATATTTTATGAAGCTGTGTGTGATAAAAGAATATGAAATTGAGATAAATTAAGATAAACAACATATAAAAATAAACAATAACAAAAATTATTTACTATGAATAGGTATAAATAAAACGTGCATAATATTAAAATAATTTTACTGAAATTAAAGAAGTAGATAGTGTAGATAATAAAATTATGTAAAAAAACTAAATATGATATTATATATAACTATGACTGAGTCAACAGTCTGAAATATAGACAAGATTATAGCATATACTATATACATATGAAATAGTCAATACAGCAACCGTAACAACAGTTAGTATCTGTTCTAGTTCAGTTCTAGTTCTGCTCTAATTCTATTCTAGTTCTGTTCTAGTTCAGTTCTAGTTCTGTTCTAGTTCTGTTCTAGTTCTGTTCTAGTTCTGTTCTAGTTCTGTTCTAGTTCTGTTCTAGTTCTGTTCTAGTTCTGTTCTAGTTCTGTTCTAGTTCTGTTCTATTTCTGTTCTAGTTCTGTCTAGTTCTATTCTGTTCTAGTTCTAGTTCTGTTCTGTTCTAGTTCTGTTCTAGTTCTGTTCTAGTTCTGTTCTAGTTCTGTTCTAGTTCTGTTCTAGTTCTGTTCTAGTTCTGTTCTAGTTCTAGTTCTGTTCTAGTTCTAGTTCTGTTCTAGTTCTGCTCTAGTTCTGTTCTAGTTCTGTTCTAGTTCTGTTCTAGTTCTAGTTCTAGTTCTGTTCTAGTTCTGTTCTAGTTCTGTTCTAGTTCTGTTCTAGTTCTGTTCTAGTTCTGTTCTAGTTCTGTTCTAGTTCTGTTCTAGTTCTGTTCTAGTTCTGTTCTAGTTCTGTTCTAGTTCTGTTCTAGTTCTGTTCTAGTTCTGTTCTAGTTCTGTTCTAGTTCTGTTCTAGTTCTGTTCTAGTTCTGTTCTAGTTCTGTTCTAGTTCTGTTCTAGTTCTGTTCTAGTTCTGTTCTAGTTCTGTTCTAGTTCTGTTCTAGTTCTGTTCTAGTTCTGTTCTAGTTCTGTTCTAGTTCAGTTCTAGTTCATTCTAGTTCAGTTCTAGTTCAGTTCTAGTTCAGTTCTAGTTCAGTTCTAGTTCAGTTCTAGTTCACTTCTAGTTCAGTTCTAGTTCAGTTCTAGTTCAGTTCTAGTTCAGTTCTAGTTCAGTTCTAGTTCAGTTCTAGTTCAGTTCTAGTTCAGTTCTAGTTCAGTTCTAGTTCTGCTCGAGTTCTGTTGTAGTTCTGTTCTAGATCTGTTCTAGTTCTGTTCTAGTTCTGTTCTAGTTCTGTTCTAGTTCTGTTCTAGTTCTGTTCTAGTTCTGTTCTAGTTCTGTTCTAGTTCTGTTCTAGTTCTGTTCTAGTTCTGTTCTAGTTCTGTTCTAGTTCTGTTCTAGTTCTGTTCTATTTCTGTTCTATTTCTGTTCTAGTTCTGTTCGAGTTCTAGTTCTGTTCCAGTTCTGTTCTAGTTCTGTTCCAGTTCTGTTCCAGTTCTGTTCTGTTCTAGTTCTGTTCTAGTTCTGTTCTAGTTCTGTTCTAGTTCTTTCTAGTCTGTCTAGTTCTGTTCTAGTTCTGTTCTAGTTCTGTTCTAGTTCTGTTCTAGTTCTGTTCTAGTTCTGTTCTAGTTCTGTTCTATTTCTGTTCTAGTTCTGTTCTAGTTCTGTTCTAGTTCTGTTCTAGTTCTGTTCTAGTTCTGTTCTATTTCTGTTCTATTTCTGTTCTAGTTCTGTTCTATTTCTGTTCTAGTTCTGTTCGAGTTCTAGTTCTGTTCCAGTTCTGTTCTAGTTCTGTTCCAGTTCTGTTCCAGTTCTGTTCTGTTCTAGTTCTGTTCTAGTTCTGTTCTAGTTCTGTTCTAGTTCTGTTCTAGTTCTGTTCTAGTTCTGTTCTAGTTCTGTTCTAGTTCTGTTCTAGTTCTGTTCTAGTTCTGTTCTAGTTCTGTTCTATTTCTGTTCTAGTTCTGTTCTAGTTCTGTTCTAGTTCTGTTCTAGTTCTGTTCTAGTTCTGTTCTATTTCTGTTCTATTTCTGTTCTAGTTCTGTTCGAGTTCTAGTTCTGTTCCAGTTCTGTTCTAGTTCTGTTCCAGTTCTGTTCCAGTTCTGTTCTAGTTCTGTTCCACTTCTTTTCTAATTATAGTTCTATTGTAGTTCCGTTGTAGTTCTAGGTTTGTTTTAGTTGTGTTCTAATTCTGTTCTAGTTGTGTTCTAGTTCTGTTCTATTCTAGAAAATATTTTTATGGAGAAATGTATAAGTATTCGATAATTTTTTTCATTTGTTATGATTCTTTAATACTTTCAAAAACATATAAATTCTTTTGCTATGCCCTCCCAATCTAAATAACCTTGATTTTCAAGGGATTTCCATTAAACAAGAACAAAAAACATATGGAAAATAAATTAAAAATAAACAACAACAATATGAAAGTGATAATAAATATACAACATTTACAATACAAAAATTTTAAACAAAAATATAAAATGTTCTTGTAAAAACAATACAATAAACACACAGAGATATATTGTATTTAAGGTGGTATACTTCTTATTTACTAAATATACACACATATTTATTTACAACAACAATAACGACAACAAATAAATAATAAATGAATAATAGTACATGTATATAAATTAATTGAATCGAATAAAAAATCAATTAAACTTACTTTGTTCGGTGCTGCGAGTAGCGGATGGTGATCTACTTGTGCGCAAAAGTGACTGACTTCCGGTACGGGTTTGTAATAATAAATGTTGTTGTTGTAATTGAGGCTGATGCTGCAACTGATGTTGTTGAAGAGATAATGATGATGAGACGGCTGATGAGGGTGATGGTTGCAGAGGCAACAATTGATCTTTAGATAATTGATTACCCAGATGTAAACCATCCATAATTTGTTAAGGAATTTATTGGGCTGTTGAAATGCACTTTTTTGACGTTTCAGAACACTCTCCCTTTCTCTCTCTTTCTTTCTCTCTTAGTGTAAGCGAGAGAGTGTTATTAAGTATGTAATTTTAACAAATTTATATAAATTTCAAATAAAACATTTTATTTTATTTAAACAAAATAAATGTTAATTTTTCTGTGGGAAGTAATTAATCTTCTATCCAAATTCTTTTTTAGTTTCAAATTTGAAATATTTCCATAATGATTTTTAGCTATTATTCCTCCCGGGTAAAATGATAAGAATTGGTTCTCTGAAATTAAAATTTAAAGTTGAGATTATTGTCCATGTTTTTATTAGTGTAAAATATTTATTTTTATATATAGTCTTGGTTTAAAAATCAGTTTAATTGAAATATAAATAAAATTTAATCAGCATAAATTGAATAAACTTTTTGTTGCTGTTGTACTTTAATAATAATAAAAAAAAAAATAGCAACAAAATATATATTAAGATTATGAGTTAAACCATTGACAGAGGGTGATGAGGCCATGGTTTGTTTTTGTTGTTATTTCGTATTTAAATTGTTTATCTGTACGAAACAAAAGCAACAATAATAACAAAAATAAACAGCGAAAAAATAATAAAACTAGAGTATCATCAAAGAGATTTATAACAAACTATTGCAAGTGTTTAGTCGGTCGGGTTGTCTGCCCATTTCTCTTTGTGTTTGGATTTCTTTTAGTAAGGACAAAGTCCAAAGTTGATTCACCTCTTGTTACAGATTTTATAATTTCAATTT